GATTACGTGACCCAGCGCAACCCTTGTAACATGCTTGTCCGTAAGGACAAATTGACTCGCCAACAACATTTAGCCTGTAAATTTGCCAACAACAAAAAGCTCCTATGCAAGCATGTTAACACCATCCGGAAAGTGAAGCTCGGTATCCCCCCACTTAACACACCAGCCGGAGTGCCACAGAGTGCCGAAGAGGCCGCCAACGCCCTACGAATGCAGTATGCCCCAATCTTCCAGAGACGTCCGCCAGTGTTACATACTCAAATCTCTAGTCCCAACTTCAACACTCACTAACATCGATTTTACTGCCACAGCTGTGTTGAAGAAATGCTCTCACTACGCACCTACATATCTCCCGGAATCGGTTATATTCACCGAAAGGCGCTGGACGTAGCAGCAACAACGCTGGTCGGGCCATTATCACATTTCTTCCAAACGTGCTTGGATAAGCGAATTGTGTCTACCATGTGGAAACAATTTCCAAAAGCGGTAATCGCTAGGAACCCGCCAACTATCGCCCAGTGGTCTTTCTCCCTGTGCTCTCAAAGGCGATGGAGGCAACCATCGATGAGGCTTTAGTAGACCATCTAGAACGCCACATCATAGTATCCGAACAATACGATTTCCGCCAGCACCGTTCATGCACTATCAACCTACTGATTGCACGCAGTAGTTGGACGGAAGCGGCCGATGAAGACAGAGGGACAGACGTCATTTACCTCGACTTCTCCAAAGCCTTCGACCGACTGGACCACCACATTCTGCTTTTACAGGCTTGAAAGGTATGGAGTTGGGGATCCGGTCCTTGGGTGGATCAAGAATTTCCTGCAGAATCAGCAGCTGCAGGTCAGAGTTCGAAGTGCGCTGTCCGATCCGATTTATGTTGAATATGGATATCCACAAGGATCAGTTCTGGGGCCGCGTCTGTTTCATTTATTCAGTAGCGAGCTTACGCGTTTGATTGCTTCAGATTTTTTGCTGTTCGTTGATGATGTTAAGATGTGGCGGACGATCGCCGATCCAGCAGATCACGATGAACTTCAGTGAGACATGGACAGAGCGTATGGGTGGTCACTCCACAATCTGCTCCAGACCAATTCGGGGAAGTGTAAGGTGGTTCACATTCGCCACCAGCCGAACATCACATATAAGCTTGAAGATCATGTCCTGCATGCAGTCACCCAAGAGCGCGACCTTGGCGTACTAGTTCAAGCTGATCTAAGTTGCTCAGAATAATCCGAGGCGCCAAAGACTGGGAACCAACACGCTGCAGAGGGTATTCAGGCGGTCTGTTCGCAGTTGCTTAACATTTACGTGCAGCCTCATGTAGAATACGCCATCCCGGTCCGGCATCCCTGGCATAAGCAAGACCATGCAGCGCTCGAGGCTCCACAGCGACGAGCTGCGAAGCATGTCAAAAGGTTGTTCAATCTTCCTTATCAACTTAGATTGAGGACCCTAAAATTATAGTGGCCGGTACCGGCGCTTACATGGCGACCTTATTATGCCCTACCAGATTCTGAGGAACCCCAACCACGTATGTCTCCACCTATTACAGCTGAGCCACAACGCGAATTTGAGGTGCCACTAGTTCAAGTTAGCCACGCAATAGTCTCTTAAAATGTCGACGGAACTTTTACTCTCTTCGTGTGTCAGCCATGGAACGCCCTCCCTGTGTGTAAAAAGCGCCTTGGCGTTGCGCTAACTCACCTAAGCTACGAGATGTGGCCTGGGTGACTCGACAAACGATATAATGCGACGAAAAATACACAACCATACTTAGCCCACACAACTGTTGGTCCTTTCTGCGTGCCTTAGTGTTAATACTGTGGTGGGTCCACAAAAAGGATTTTCATTTAATTCCTTTGTTTTCCATTCACCATGTTGCGGTTCTTATTTTGGCCGTCCTACGGGACTGCTAGGCATCCCATTTTTGCCCGTACTATAATACCGTTGGTAATATTATGCAGATTAACTACGTGCTCGCTACTCGACTATGATCGTCGAATGCGGAAACACCGAGGAGACAGTTCTGCTTTTCTTCAATTAGCAACTGATACACGTACTTTAGTATCATTTTACATATTAGTCCTTTACAAGTCCGCTGATCAACACTGTCTTGTCTCTGGGAAGCCCCATTGTGATGGGGCTATGATAAACGCAAAACAGAGCAGAGAGATTGCCGTTTGATTGTTCAGGCAAACACTGCTGAGTAGCGAATAAGGAGCAATGGCATTTGCAACTTTGGGATGTCATTTCAAACTGATGGACTTCGCAAGTCGACATGATCCGACTGCATAGCTTTATGCTTTCTCACTAAACATGAATGTTGGAGACCAGTTCCGCACGTGCTGGTTGGATTTCGGCGGTTTATTAGCAAAGCCAATTTTACACATGCATTGTACATAGTAATGTTTGTGCCACTGACGTTGAATTCACTCTGTGAGAGCGTACATCCACTTCAACAGTAATGTGCCCACGTACCACGAGTGAAAAATAACGAGCCATGATCCATGTTAGCAGATGTAACCTTCCCATCTTGTCACTTTTTAAACACTTCCTCAGATGCTTGTGGAGAACTCTTACATTAACCTAGCCCTCACTCATTCTTGTACCCAGATGGATAGCTCACATAAGTCCGGTATACTCTTTGAGACCAATTGTGACGTAATCCCGGATTGCATCGTCTGTACCTTCTTGATTTCTTCCGGGGATGTCTGGCATGTGCACATTATACGTGTCGTTGGGGCTCCGACATAATAATACGCTGACGAAGTTTCCGGCTAACTTTGCGCAGGCTATCCTGTTGGTGAACCACGGAAAACGGGTTTGCTCGCTAACTTTGTTTCTGGTGCCTACGCGTGGGATACTGTCAGCTGAATGTCCAGGGTTCCGTTGCGCTTAAAAGGCTTAACGAGTTCCGTGCAAAACTTGCGATAGCGACAATTCATTTCCTTGACGAGTGCATTTCGTGTTGTGAATATCCGGGACACCTCTGGAAGATCCTCATACGGAATCGAATTAATTTCAATGTGATACAGTTACTTCTAGACTTTATGTGTTGGAACGTAACGAGTGCATTGATTGCCGTACAGTGTGGAACACACGCGGTTGGAAGTATTTGTTCCAAGATTAGTTACAAAACAAGTTGACGTGCCAGCTGCATTGAGGCAGCAGATCGGCACGACTAAGGCAAATATTTTGTTCACAGAGTTGTGTCCACTGCTCTTCTTTACATTTTGGTAAAACACTACTACAGTTACTTTCGCTCGGTCCGAAATAATAATAACCATGGAATAATACAAGACAGCTGGCATTAGAAGTCCAATTTGAAGATGTAAATTCCCAAACATCTATGCACACGCCTCCATCGGTATTAGCGACTGAGTGCTGTAAATCCTCCATGATAAATACATGCTATCAGTATCTGGGATACGAATCCAAACAGAGATATTTGTTGATGAACGCGCCTGTATATATTTCCAACGCCATTAAAAGAGACGAGGTTGTGTTTCGTTTTAGGCCGGGTAAAGGAGCATGAGTGACTCTAATGGAGAAATCTAACTATTGTTCAAATGAACATCATCTCCCGGGTGGAGAAACAACAAGATAAGTCGAATGCGACCAAAAAGTCAGTCACAAAGCTATTACGTTGCCTGAGACAAGAAAACGAGATTCACTCCGTCGTATTCCCCTACAAGTCCCACATGACCATTGGTTCAACGACTACATGGCTTGCCAAAAGTGCATAAAATTGACTTTCACTGAGACCCATTCTGGATTTGTGTGATTTTTCATATCAACAACAGCGAAGTCACTTGCCATATGTACCACACTTCACCAGTGTTCAGCTGGAAGAGAAAATAGGCCACCTATGCGTATCATCTAAACGTCGGCCTTGCGAACCACCGACTTAGTTGCTTCTAATATGCACTAGTAACACAATTCCAGTTCGACGGAAGAATCCACAGACAGAAGGATGGAATCGCAACAGCTCACACTAGAATCGCTACTAGCTGACGTGTTTTTGACTGTTAGAAAACCACTATCCAGATGGAGCTATCAGCAAATTGGTCTACTACGGACAGCATGGCAGACAACCACCTAAACACGGAAGGACTAGTGATACATTTTAACAGCACACAAGAACACGAACTTCACCATAGAATCTTAGACGTTCTGATGAGACGAAGCCCAGCGTAATGTGTGGAACGGGCAATATAGTCACTTTCCTTGCTTCGTTCCGCCTAAGCGGAAATAAAAACTTGTCCAATGCCTGACCGAGCGAGCAAGGGAGTCATGTGCGAGGACATGCTTCCGGACTTCATACAAAGCCTATTTGGGAAAAACGGCTATCTATAGTTCATTCGCAGAAACGAAATTGGCTGCAGTGGAGGAAAAAGCCAGTCTACCCGTTGTTTTCGTACAAATGGGAATGGCTATAAGAAAGCTAAGGTTATTGGTCAATCTTACTCTGCAACTTTATGACTAAGCTTCGATTCGGTGCCAATTCTGAATTAGCAGTTCGAGGTCAAGTACTTCTTTCCTTGTGCACTGTTGCTCGTGTTGATTAAGATATATCGGAATGACCACTGTCAGATAGAGCCCGAAAGCATCATCCAGCTTGGTTGTACAACGAAGTGTCTAGATCAATGGCAAGCGGAGCGTCTGCACATCCGGTTACTTCGAGCCACCAGATCAAAGCGCATGAGACGCTCCATCCTAAGTGTCACACACGAGCGGTTAGATGTCGTCTGTTGACGGCGTCTGAAGCGCTCGTCACTCGGCTGGTCTGTGTGCACATAAATTTGTCCAGGCACTCCCCTGTAATGCTGACACGTGGTGTAGTCGACACACAATTGATCGCTTTGGAACCAATTGCCCAACCTGATCACTCAGACTCATGTCTGTTTAGTTTCCTGTCACTCTTTCGTGTATTAGCTTGTTGATGAAACACTGAAAAAGAACTTGTTCGCTAACTATTGTTTTATTTTTTTCATCAGCCTGGTGACTCAGCACCTGTTTTGCCATCAAGTGAGCTCGTCAGTCCAAACGTCCCACGACATGAAGGCGGACAAGTCACCACGTTCCCTTCGAGACCAAGTACTAAACGCCCCTGTCCCGGCTCCAGCACAGTTGTCCGCCCTACCGTTAACTCCGAAACGGATACCTGTGAACCAAAAGTAACTACTATCAACATTCACATTTCCCTTAGCGATCGCAAGTCGAACAGGAGGTGCAGCCGAGGCCGGATAATATGTTTAAGACGGCTGGGGCCGTGGTGAGTATTGTTCTCTCCCATGTTGCATTTACCCCTCCAGATCTTCAACCCAGTAATAATAATTCCTTCTGGTTCCAGCTACAGCAAAATATCCAAATGAGACAACCGGGGGATGCTCGCCTGATAGGATATGGTTCATCCAGACGAACTCTCGGTGGCCGGTAAGCATTGTGCTCACTGCAAATTTGCACTCAAAAGCAACATTCATGTGTCACTATTGCAGTGGTCGGGGCATCGGATTACTCACCATGCGAACCGCGCGCGGTACTCTCGCATGCCTCACGTGTCGAGCATATGGACTACACTCGACTCATGCGCACCGTTCCGTTTTATAAGTGGTTAACAAGCAGGAACGTTGGGATACGTAGCGTGATGTACTTGGGAGATGCTAACTCACCAGGGATCCGGATGATCTATCAAATCAATGCTCTCTCGGCATAACCATCTAGGGCAGCTGAACGAAAACACCGAATTTTGCCGCAAAGTAGTCAATCGACGATATATCTGAGGCGAGAAACCGCCCGTGACACTAAATGTTCACCCCAGGATCCGCTGTCACTGGTACACTTCCGCATTCGGTACACAACCGATTTATTTGACTTCCTGGCCATTGTAACTTTACTATTCCTTTAACTGTTTGTTTACGGTCATCTTATCTTATTCTCCAGTCATTTCTACTTTCTGATAAGGAAGCGCGGGTTGTGTCAAGCGAACCGCGTTGCCGGTCCATGGTCGAAATAACCTCATCCGACATGAACACGTTGGCAGCGGCGACATGTACTTGATTTTACACCCAACACCGTGGCGTCTGCAAGCACGGCTGTAACACCTATGACCGCTATGATCAATCGGTTGCGTTCTCGCAGTGGAGATATGAGCTGCTCCCGCTGTTGCATAGTGTACAAGCAATTCGCAGTCCGCCTAAACATTATCTCTTCGGCACTTTACGCACTACTCTTCCCCATTCCGTAGCCGTACGGCTAGTAAGCACCCGGCACTATATGATTGCTGCTTTGTTATTAATTTTTGTAGTAATGGTATTCTATCAACTTAACCCGGATGGAGTAGAGGCCGCTCACCATTATGCCGGCTACTTAACCACAATACATCCAACAGACAGGTCTCGCGTCAAAACACGACTGCTGATCAAGCTGTCCGCTACCATTAACGTATGTGATGTAGAAAACATAATAGCCGCCGCTGCGACGGGGACAGCTCCTGTCCCTAACTTTTTAATAAACAGATTTATAGCATATAATTAAGTGCGCACTAAGATAGGATGCAGCAAGATCGCCGGATTTGGTATCACTCGACGAGTCCCTTATTTCTCCATCGGTCCGTCATTACTCTACGATCAACGACGTTTTATTTCAGGAAACCAACTTGTACTAAAAGGAATCTTTAGAAACAGGCACACTTGCCATTATTTAAACGACAGGATGCCACGTTGACTCTACCCACGCATCGCTAACACATTGCCGCACAGCCAAAGCATTCCATTGTAACGAGCGTCAATGTGCAGATCTCCAAAATGAATTTTCGGTCACAAATTCGAGGTCACGCAATTCGCAGCTTATTTACCGTACGCCTTTAGTCATGACGATTCAATGCCTCGTCTGTTTCAGTAGATTATGTTCGCAAGCAAGCGCCAACGGACGATGGCAGTTTTACCAAAACCATCCTTGCTCACCCTTTGGTGCGTATCTAGATGTTAGCTCATGGAAGTTAAAATTTCTTGTCTGAAGCGAAACCTCTTCTGCATTATCAGACCATTGGTGAATTCCTCATTCCAGACGTGGGCCCGGCAGTCGCTTCGTACCACCCGTTCTCGGTGCATCTACCGGCAGTCCAGGTGCAGCACCAAACTCACAACCTCCGGCATCCATCGCAGACAACCCAGCACCATTTAGCGGTGAAGAGCATTCTTCTGTCGTGGATGAACGTCTGAAGCAATTTGATGCTAAAATAATCGACTTGATTTCAAGCGAGGTGAGTTTGCGCCACCAATTTCAAAGGTCGGATTAAATGGGAGACGTGTGATATCTAGCCATTAGTCTTTCCCTTTCCTAGATTATGGATTCCAAATGTCCCATCGCTTGGGAAGATATCGCGGGTTTAGAATTTCAAAAGAAAACGTTGAAAGAAGTCGTCATTTTGCCCATGTTGAGGCCGTGAGTTAGATTATCTACTGGCATTTTCAAGCACGTTATTTTACCCTAATAAAGTCTAGCCGCATGGGGAAATGGCATGGACTTTGAGCGAACAAGATTTGGTGACCTGGCATCACCTCTTATGTACCGTCCTGTTTCACGCACATACGAGCCGTTGCGGCTGCTAGCACCGTATTCATGCTGGTTTACCGATACCACTGCTACCAAACAGCGATGGCTGCATTCGACTTCGTTCTGATGCGATGGGTATATATTTGCCACAGGCAACGGACCATTAGTCCGACGTACTGCTTCACTGTGAATATGACGATAAGGGGCTGTTACGGTTTGTGCACATACCACACAATGGCGAGAATCGCTAGCCATACCAACAATCGAAGAGTCGTGAGCTGGATCACACCTAACACTGTCTATCAGATTTCGATTTCCCGGCCACTAAATCTTAGTACCCAGTGACTGTGTGGGAGGCAGTATTTATAGGCTACACATTTCCAACCTATTCAGTTGCCGAATGCTCGCTTTTTTACGTTTTAATCTAACACGAATTCTTCGCGACTCCAATGATCCTGGGCTTCTCATCAGTTACCTGCTTTTTCTCAGTGATCTGTTCACTGGCCTCCGCGGCCCTCCGAAAGGACTCTTGCTTTTCGGCCCTCCTGGGACTGGGAAAACGCTTATAGGTAAGTGATCAATCGTCACTACTGGAACACCGTTTTGTGTTAGGCTAGCAAAATAATTGGCATGCTAGCCGCCAGTCTCACGGCTTTGAAACCAGACGCACCATACTGCGCCAACTCCATCTGTCACATATTTATCTCAGCAACATAGGTCTCCGTTTTTCTTCAGTCAATGTGTAGATCTGAGACATCTTTTAGTTTATGATTTCTCAGCGAGTGACGTGTGACCAGACAATCAGCCTATTGCCCCGCTTCATCAATGTATATCGGCCTAGCTGAACATAATGATGACTCTTCAATTTGTGTGAACTACAGGAAAGTGTATTGCCTCGCAAAGCCAATCAACCTTCTTCAGCATTAGCGCATCGTCACTCACCTCGAAATGGGTAAGTTATCGCATAATTATCCATCTTGATTCGCCCACCAGCAACCGGCTGAAGGTTAAGTTACTGTTCTTTCCCATAGGTCGGTGAGGGCGAAAAGATGGTTCGCGCTCTTTTCGCTATTGCTCGCATCCACCAACCGGCGGTCATCTTTGTCGATGAAGTTGATTCTTTACTTACCCAACGATCGGAAACAGAACACGAGTCCAGCAGGCGAATCAAAACGGAATTTCTGGTGCAGTTGGTGAGCATTGTACTTTTTGAATGGTTTTCGGTTTTCCAGTTGTTCTTTACTTTCAAGCGTTACTAATGTTGTTCCACAGTAGTCGTGGTTGTTTGTAGATGCTGATTGCCCATCACTTGTTTTACCAGTTCGATTATCTCTAGATTTGTGGCATGAAACGATTGACTAATTTTCTCTAACCTATATCGATATTTCTCGAATGCAGTTGCGACATCTCGTCGGTTAAGATCACATCAGACCGAGTTAACAAGTTTGGTTGACCTAGAAGGCATGGTGTTTCAAGCTGTACGTAAAGAGACTACGGGTTATTCCGTAGCGTTCGGCTTCCCTTTTGCGGTTGCTATACCTCACTTTGTTTGGTAAATGCAACTACACGGCTCTCTCTATCTCTCTCTCTCTCTCTCTCTATATATATATATATATATATATATATATATATATATATATATATATATATATATATATATATATATATATATATATATATATATATATATATATATATATGTATATATAGTTGCTTTTCCCAAACAACGTGCGACATTTAAACCTCCGGCACACCTACTGTTAGATGTCACAAGCGTTTCTCTGAATCCCTGGTATTATGAGCATGGTCCTACCGGATGCCTTGGATCTAATCGGACATTCGTGGGCACCGAAGCTTGTGAACGACTGCGAAATAAGTCTTAGAAGGGCGGTGGTGAGGTAGTTGTTGAGTCAATACTAGGAGTGAATGCATTCGGGTACACGACTTTGAAGTTAGGAGCGACATTTTGGGAAGCAATCCAGCCGGTCCATCGTCTACCCAATCAACTGATTCTGCGTAAGAATCAAACCTAACCTCTCGAAACACCCGTGTTTCCAAGCGTGGTGCGCGGGATATATCTCCACACATCTACGTTACCACTTTTTCAAATTGTCTTATTTGGAAAAAGTATATTCTTTCAGGACGGCGTTTCAACTGGGCCAGAAGAGCGTCTTCTGTTTATTGGAGCAACCAACAGGTGCGTCATGTGAAGTCATCGCTGTTTAGAACATTTTCGTGCATACAGTCATTCTGACCATTCCCCACTGCACTCGCAGGCCTCAAGAACTAGACGAAGCTGCTCGGCGCCGTTTTGTTAAACGCTTGTACATACCTCTCCCGGATTGGGACGCACGTAGGTGTATAGTACACCACCTCCTCAAGCAGCAACGACACTCCCTCACCACGCCAGATTTCGCGCAGGTGGCCGACTGGACGGATGGTGAGTCAACAGCAGCAAACTTTGGATTCTACGGTCGTTAAGGTATTAGCGTACATGTGTATATTATCTACATTATATCTTATTTGCGTGTCTACAAAAATCTGTTAATTCCACTCAATCAGGTGTCACGACTAAGTAGTGTTTTGCAGAGAGCATTGGTCTAAATGAAGTGACCAGCACCAAAATCAAGTAGCTGATCGTGGAGGGTTTGCACAATGGTGTTGGCATGTTGCATGCTCCCAGCATACACATCCGCAGTTCTTTTCAATTTCAGGCTATTCAGGTGCAGACATGACAAACCTCTGTCGCGAAGCCGCAATGGGTCCAATCCGATCACTGACTATGGAGGCCATACAATCAATCGCGTGCGATGAGGTAGATTTTCCCTATAAATATTTATCGGCATCATGAGTGATATCAAAAACCGAGTATAGCCATTATTTTAGATTCGTCCTGTAGAGCTGACCGATTTTGAAGCTGCGCTGCGGCAGGTCAGGCCGAGTGTCTCATCTGGGGATCTGGAACATTACCTAAAATGGAATAAACAATATGGGAGCTTTGGGACCTGAGTTGAGGTCCACATCAACTTTGCTATGTGTTGTTCGGCGACAAATGCAAATACATTTTTCCACATCAGTCCATTACGTGTTCTTATGTACAAAGCTGAGATCAGAAAGATAGCGGTTGGATACGAATAGCGACCATAGTGTGCTAGTGGATGAACACGATTTCTAGACTCCTATCGCACTTTTTACATTTTGCGCAGATTAAAAATAATTTAGTCCGCAACTTTAGCCGCATCCTTTTGAGACACTTCGGACGCTGGTGCAGTGGCTACAATTCGTCGCCTCCGAAATCGAGGATCGTCAAGGTACGATCTATCGCCCGTTCGCGTGGGCGCGCTTACAGCCATCGTTGTATGAATATTGGCAAAAGTGCTCGCCATTTCGTTCAGCTGCAATTTCACGGGTCGTCTTGAAATGGCAACAACTGGTTTCACAACTTCTTCCTCTGGCTGATTTGAGTCAAGGACCGCATCCTCAGTCTTTGGCGATTCAATTTCGCACCCGATATTGTCATCCTTCGGAACAATGGGTTTGGGTTGCGACCGAAGAGTGGCGAGTTGCCCGCGAAGTCTTGGGTCTTCGTAACGATGCGGAAGCTCTTCTATAGGTAGCTGCATCAGAGGATAGGGTATTTTGACATTCATATCGAGCTGAATAAGGCGCCATTGCACTGAAGCTGGGGATGTAGGTAAGGTCGTCTGCAGTGGCATCACATTCGGATCGGGATAAGTGAAATTCGGCGGTGGTTTCTTGGCTTGACTTTCGGGTGAGCCTATCGCTGGCGCCTGAAAATCACTAGGCTACAACAGAGAAAGTACGAAACGTCGGAATGTAGTAGACATGAAAATGCACTGCAAACTTTTCAGTGATCCGAGATAGATCAAATGAATGGTTCGTATGAGTGGCGAATTATTGGATGATTGCTTACTTCTGCGTACAACGGATGATTAAATCTTTCTAATCTATGAGACAGCGCAACTCACTCAACCGCTAGCGAGCTAGTGACAGACGTGAAAGCATTGCGGATTGCTTAGTGGATATCTAATGGGTCCTATTAACAACATTCCATTTAGGTAATTTGGTCCGGGGTATCAACATTGGGAACCACACTATTGTCTTTGGATGGATCGATAGGTCAGTAAACTATCGTTTTCTCTACGAAAACTGGATGTGCGGCTAAAAGCTTTCACTTACGAGAGTGGGAGACTTGAGTTCCCCGTGATCAAAGGCATTGGGCTCCAATTTATGGGCACTACTTGGGGACTGAATGCGGGGGTCTGAAGGAGGCGATGCGGTGGCTTCCAAGGTCTCCGGCGTCGTACTAGAAGCCAAGAGCGCAGCCATTTTGTCTAGCTCAGAGCTAACGATCGCCTCGCTGGATGCATGGAGAGAGGGGTTAAATGGTGGGCGCATAGGAAGAGGGCCACGAGGACCAAGGGATCTGAACCGAGGGAAATCTGTTAGGCCTGGGCTATCGCGAGGAATCATATACAGTGGCAACCGTGAAGGTAAGGAGTGATCTGGTGGAAATTTGCGCGGACCTAGGGCGGGAAAAGCACTATCCGGTATGCCAGGACCTGGGAACGGCAGTCCGTAGTTCGGAGCAGCATAAGCGTTACTCAGAGGTATACGAAACCTTGTTTCTAGTCCGAATCGCGGGGCTTCCATTCTGTTACTGGGGGAAAAAGTGAACGGAGGTCGTGGTCCCAAAAGATCTCTCGGTTCGTGCGTGTTTCCGGGGGGAGCAGGGTGGAAGTTGGGCGCAGGGATCAAATGCGGAGGTGATTGGGGCTCGTAGTTAGGATCAGGATCGCTATCAAAAAGAAGAGGGAAATAATACAACCTAAATGTAGCAGCTGAGAGGAGTGTGGGGAAGTGAATCTATTGCAAACAAATCACGTTAGGATAAAAACACAGGAGCAGAGATCCTCGCAATGTGACGAAAATGGATGGCTCACAGTTATGTTAATGGTGTTATCACTCTCCGTGGAATTTGTCTCCACACCAGGGACAAAGCAAACGTAACGTAGGAAGACAAAAGGCCCAGTGTTGCACAGCAGTGACAACTGTCTTTCAAAAATCGATACAGCATGGCATCAACAACAGCGCAGGCGTTCTGGTCTGGTGGGTAGGGCTGCTTTCAGTGGCATTGACGTAACGTAACGTGAGAAACGAGAAATCCATCCGAACAAGGATATTTTATTTGCAAATGGATGAACAGAGGTTTGGAAAGACTGCCAGTGCTTCGGGGTCATCTACATTACTATGGATCTAGTCGAAGTAGACAATGCGGAGTACGTTTGATGGGTTCTGCTTAGACTTTTAATTCTTGTTGGAAGCTAACTACGTTGTCTCGCTCTACTGCCATCATTATTATCATCATTATACACGTCAGCTAAAGGTGGGAAACACCTCAGCTACTGTGCCGCAATACATAAATGAAAAAGGAAAATAAATACGAAAGTTGCATGCCAGCTGAGCTACCAGCAACGGATAGGCATCGTTCCGATAAGCCACCAGCCTGCTACTAGCCAAAAAGAAAAAAATTATTGTGTTTTACGCTAAAAAATGAGATCGTAGGTGAAGGGGGAGGCTAAAAGGAATGAGGGGGGGGGGCAAAGAAACTCACAGCAAGAACGCCACTGAGATCGGCTCCTTGCCATGTCAGCAAGTGTATCCAGCCAAACGTGTTCACCGTCTTTTGGACCTCAACCACGGATCCGTGACGCTCCAACCGAGGGCAGCACAGAAGTGAGGGCCTTCATTCCTCTTGACCAAGTCATCGCTTGGCCACCCCTCCTCTTCTTCCATCCACACCCCCGGTGAGCAAACAACGCACATCGTTGAAGTCGATGGGCTGGCATGCGCAAGACGTGGCCCATCCATCGGAGCCTGGTGCGTGAAATAACGGTGCTGAGTGGTTCAGTTCCTTTTCCTGGACCGTAAACAAGGCTTCGAACACGCTCGTTACTCACGCGGTGTTCCCACCAGATGTGAGCCAAACTGCGAAGGCACCGATGGTCGAACGTAACTAGCCTCTTTATGTCCGCTCTACTGCCATGTGGATGACTCATTCATTAGATCCCAGTGTATTTAGTATGGCGAGCCAGAACCGTGCCAACAACAAAACCGCAATCACCGAAACCGAAAGCATTGAACTGGAAAATCATAAGAGTTATACCTGAAATGTAAACCATTCATCGGTCACTTCACTGCTGCACAATCGGCTCCCTCGCATCCCGAAACAAAATTGGAGAAGTCTCCGACGTGAACATTACTTGGATAGCTGACGTTCGCAACAGCGTTTAAGCCTAGAATTTTCGGAACACGATGGCAATGCACTGATTTCCGACTACTAAGCCACGTGCGATGCATGCCTAGAACAATCCTGGAGGACACTAAAACGGTGGTTTTCTGATAAGGAATTGAAAGAGCTGTTTAAGCAAGTGGGTTGGGATTTCCTGTGAAAACCTCCCGTCCAAGTTGTCAATTATGTTGCCACGGAACGCTTGTGCGTTATCGGCGACAACGCTGCTAGTTGGCAACTCTACCTGTCTTACCAAGGGATAATGTTACTAGATTCCCGACTGCGTAATCACTTAGTGATACCATCGTCGGGCGGTAACTACGTCGCCATGATAGCCACCTTCGTTCCAATGACAAGTATACCATCCTTCCGATAAAGAGGAAACCCAAGGTGGAAATACGCGGCTATGAAAGCGTCTGATCTGATCTGCACTGTGATCTTCGTCTTCGCCTGTTCAACTTGCTTGCGCAGTAAACGCTGCGCAAAACGCCATTGTCTTCTTTCTCTCTGGGGTCGCGAGTAGTCGTGCCGCGTCTGCGCCGGTCTCCGTACAGTGAGGAACAACCATTGACCGACCAAATCACTCGAGAATTCACTTGTCCACACGGGGTCCAGTCCACGAGAGTCGAAATTCCGTCGTTACAACTAAGAACAAGATATCAAGCGACGGCGTCACAACCGGACCCGAGTGAAGCAAAATCTGTGGTAACCTAGAACTGAGGCGATCGCTGACTTTTGTCGAAGCATGCTCATTTATCTCTACTCCATTGTTTAACTGTGATTGCAGCCGATACAAAGTAGAATTTCAAACAACTTATTTCATGCTTAGATTTTTGTTAGTCACCGGACTTAGCTACTGACTGGCGAAGCGTAGTGTAAACCAGCAGTGTTTTACGCAGAATCAAACTGAAAATGGGCATTGCTGAGAAGATAAGCTCGGCAGGATCAAGATCTCACCCGTACGACTAGGTGACTTAGTTTGTCCAACCTACCAGTCGCATGGTGTGTCCAATAGGCACATAAAGGAAAATGGAGCTCGACGGGACACGCTTTCGCTTACATTTATCTCAATTTTTGAGGAATGTATGTAGCTGACTGGTAAACTATATGAGGTTCTTCTGTATCAATTAAGCCTGCTTATTGTGTTTAATGAGGATGTGTGCAGCCCACCTGCAGCAGGCCATGGCATCGCAGCCGAACTCCTTATTTTCTTATTCCAAGACATCAAACTGTGATATCGAGCAGACCGCAGTATACATCTCTGCAAAATGAATCGCATCTTCCGAATTCCTGACGAGCGTCAATCTCGGTGTTGGCGAGCTAAATGCACTCAGTCAGGTGAAGCCAGGGGCGCCACGTCAACGAATGTACACGTAGTGGGTGGTTTCGATTGTTTCCACTGGGAATAAACACTAGACCCAGTTAGAGGGCACAAAACTGTTGGCTCGAATTTGCAAGTACAGAGGACGCCAAAAGTCGATGCGATGGATCAGCTTTGTGATTCGTATCGGTTCACACCTTTAGGCCGCTTTCATGAAGTGGTTCCTATGGCTGTAAAATCAGATCACGTTAATGAGGGTCAGAGCTGTTCTTGCAATTGGTCATTCAGACGTTATCGTACACACACAAACCGCCACTGATCACAAATTCTCTGCTCATCCTTGTTAAAAGCTGGGTTTGGAGTACCCGCTAAGTGATTGGATTGCGACACGCAATCTCTATCCAAACTTCGGACATTACCGTATTCGAATTGGAAGTAGTTCGGTGTCAGGGTTGATAGGAGAAACACCGAACCACTTCCAAGCTTCGTTAAACTTTTCTTACTATATGAATTAGTATAATTTTACACCGTGGTAACATGAGCTATCCCGTCTGATCAACGTCTCTGGGCCAGGGCAAAAAATGGCCAAGTTAGTCTGCAGTGGAATTCCATTTATGTTGACTGCAGTTTCTTGACGTTTTTGTGATACATCTTGTGCCCTATGTAAAGCTGCAATGGACCGTCACCGTATGCGATGCTGTTATCCCGCTAAGTCAATTAATCTATTTTCGGAGTCGCAACTGTCAAATTTTCACTGTGAGTTATAAAGAAGTGAAGTCAGGTATGTTTTGCGCTTTATCCCATTTTCGGGACGACTTCATCACCTTAATAGTTCCTTATGCTGCTAGCTTTTCGGGTACCTGTAAAATCGGTAAGTCGAATACACTGGCGACAAATGAAGGCTGGATGTAGCTGTTACGCATCTCATTTGAAATGAAGTCTTCGCGACAAATCTATCTGTTAACGCCAATAAAGTTCATGGAATTCGCTATCATTAGTCATTCGACAACCCGACCGATGTCAAATGAACCGATGAAGGCGGATGGATTGTAAAGCGTTGCACACGGACTGTGCTACTGATGGTGTCCAAACCCATATGTGGGCGAACAAATTAGTTATAAGTCGAGACCTGGTTGTGGAAACAACCAGAATATGCGAGGTTCAATACGGAATCGCTCGAGAACCCGACATATTTTATCAACTTTCTCGTTTGCCTATGGCAGTTAGGGACCATGGAACTGCAAATTGTGTCGAACTGAAGGGATTAAACCTTAATTGGGGATCAACACACAAGCGAGTGAAGCTAAAAATTTGGAAACATGATAGCCAAAAATATCATTAGGGAGCCAAATGCAAAAAGCAGTTGGGAATTTCCCCAGCTTGTTATTACTTGGAATTGCATTGGCGAACCTGTAATGAAGCGGCCTGTGACCGAAACGGTAATCAACATCACCGCGTTCAATGAACCTGGGACGTAGGTTCCCACGGGTGGGTCGGTACGTTTCAGAACCACGGTCATGCGGGGATGGTGGAAGCTCCTAAAAATGTACACTTTGATCCGAAGTAAAAAGCAAACAAACCTTAACCCCTGTGATGCGATCGAGCAGAAGCTTCGAATCGGCAGTCAAGGGGGCATGGGAAAATTTGCACGAGCCACCGTGAGTACATTTGCCGGAAAGATGAAAGAATTTGCATGGAAATTCTCCATGTAGAAACAAACAAGTTGGGCCCTTTGAACAAACGCCGACAGCGTAAAATTTGCAAAGTTCTTGTTTCTTTGGTGGCTGGAAGTCGTGTGCGAATGGACAAGTATCGCCCTAAATTAAAAGTTAAGAACGAACCCGGAAACTCACTTTCGCGCACCGCCCTTCCATGAAGTAACGACATTGAGTCTGGACTATTGACCTGGAAACCCTTTCTACTCTTCTCCTCTTCTTGTGCTTGTCATCTAGACCACGGGGTCTACTCTAGAGGAAAGCAAGGCGATAAACGAATTACAGTTACCTTATTTCCTCCCTCTGTTGCATAGAAATCTATGTCATCACTGTCAGATAGATAATCCTTCAGAGATACCCTTTCTTTATGTCGCCTGGGACGGATGGCTGCATCAGACTGAGAAAAAGAGGGCGGATCGACATGTCCATTCGTCTTGGTGAGATGAGTCCCTTTCGAACGTCTTGATTTAGGACGCTGAGTTCGCTCTCGTTTATGTCTCGAATGAGGCTGTGAATATTTTGGATTAATATGCTCAGTATCCCTGTGATAAGGAACAGATAAATTGAAGTAACATACTTCCCATTTGTATGTTCAGTTACCACAGCGGGAGACCGTTCTAGCTCAGAATCTGATAAATCATTAACCTCTCCCTCCTCAAAATCCATAGCTGACGATCTGAAGAACGAAAGACAATAACTTCAATTAACAACTCATACATAAGCCCATGCCAGGCCTCATGAAAACATTTTGTTGACCTCGAACCTAGGTAGATGAACTAAGAGCTGACCCTTTTACGAGGGACTCGTGACTGCTGGGATGCCATACAATCGATATCGTAGCACAAGTAATCAAAACAAACAGAAAATCAGTTGGAGCTGTGCTTTTTATTTTTTACCCAAAGCGGTATTTCGCGACCTGTTTCGTACTAATTCGGACTCTTCAGAAAGAGATAGCCCGGGATGAGAATGAATATATATATATATATATATATATATATATATGTATATACTCACAGGTCTGTATACAGACAATGTGCCATCAGAACCATGGCAAAATGGAAGACAATATGCGTACGAACAAGAACAAAAAAAGATCAGTTCTTTTTTGGGTTTTTACGCACGCCGTTTTGAGTTCTTTTTAAATATATAAATATATGCTTGAGATAAAACACCAAATAAAACGGCACAACAACGCTGGCGTCACTGATGTCTGTTACTTGCCATCACATCAAGCGTTTGCAACCACAGGATTTTCGAGTCACGTGGTCCCCAACCTTGGAGGCGCACTGATCCGACTGAAGCTAAACTCGAGGCTGCTTTCTTCATGCTCCTTTTCCATGTCATTGAATGTCCATAGCGATACTTTTCCATTCGCATCCGGGAACGCAAATAACGCTCCCGGGGAAGGCGATAGGCTGGCAGTATGTGTCCGAGCCAACGTATGCAGTGTCAGAGAACAACGTTTTGAAGGCTGGGGCTGTTCGTTCCAAGCACTCGTTCACGAACCTCCGTACTGCTTATGTGATGTTGCTACCACACACGAGTGATCCTTCGCAGACAACGGTTGTCAAAATCTGACAGTTGTCTTATGTCTTCAGAGCGAACAAGCCAGGTCTCACAGACGTACAGAAGGATCGTACGAACAGATGCATTGTAAACCCTGCCCTTAAGCTCGAGACTAACGTCACGACGAAGCCATAGATGTCTCAGTTTGATGAAAGCAAGGCGGGATTTTGCAATGCGCTGTGAAACCTCATCTCCAATACCGTTACCAGCCGTGGTGCAACTCCCTATAAGTGAAGCAACCCCTAGTTCCAGAATGTCACCAGCAATGATGAGCGTAGACGCAGGCCCCTGCCAATCCTGAAATGGCACTTTACATTTGGCATGGGGTAAAATACAAGCCATAATTGGGTGCTTCAATCGCTAAGCGGTTCAAGGTTTTTTGGACGGTTTGCAGATCGTCACCCAGCAAAGCGATGTCATCGGCGTAATCCAAGCTTGCAATTCTGGCGCAAGGGAGAAGCTCAATAGCTCAATTTGGGACACTTTCTAGAGCTCGTTGTACGATATCTTCGATCGCAAAATTGAAAAGGAAAGGCGAAATAGGGCAATTTTGGCGAGCGCTGCTGGTGACAGAAAACGAAGAGTCTGCCGTAAGCCTTATTTTTGCCCGACGTGTGACTGTACAGTTCCTTCAGAATGGCGGCATACTTGTCGTGCACACCCTTCCTTAGTAGACAATTCTGCGAAGCAGCTGTCTACTGCATCGAATACTGCAAGGATGTCCAGGAACACTACGATTATTGATCGACGGTGGACGTGCCGGAGCTCGAGAATTTGATCAATGCAACTACGGCCTGGTCGAAAACCGGCTTGATCTTCTCGGGAAAAACTTTATAGTAGAAAAAAGTCTGTGAAGTAAGACGGACACAAAAATCTTGGAAGCAACTGTGATCAGTGAGATACCGCGGTACTTAGCGCAATCTTCGCGGGGCCTTTCTTGTGAAGCGAGACAACGATTGAGTCTCCCCATGAGTTGAGGACTTTGTCACAAATCCAAACCCTTCTGAAAAAGGAGAGAAATTCGTTGAAAAGTACAGCTCCACCATCTTTGAAAAGAGCAGGAAGAAGGTTGTCGACAGCTTAATGCCGTTTAAATGAACGGATTGCGCTTCGGATTTCTACTTCGGTAAGAGGGTCACTGGGGACAGGCCAAGCAACATCCGATGTGGATGGAAGTGTCACAGAGGGAAGTGCTGGGTAGTTAAATTGAGGAGCAAAGTGCTCTGCCAGCGCTTTAATCGCCTCTTCAGGTTGCTGATTTTTGTGCTGTCTAACAGATTGTCTGACTAATGACGTGTGAATTGCAACCGGTGGACTTGACGAGACGAAACAAACTGTGACAGTTTCCGACCGGTGCAGCGGTTTTCATCTCAGCAGCACACCTAGACCACCGGGATTTACGGTCAGAGCAAAGGCTTGCTTTCAGTCGTAGAGAAATAGACCGACGGCTTTCGTTGTGTTCCGTGCTAGCGGGCACGGCGCGTTAGCGATCTAGAAGTTCCGAGGAAGTTGCTGGAATTCAGCTTTTAGCTGTGCAGCGGATGAGGCCGCAGCTGGACAAACCTGCGGATAGAATGGCGTTTTGCAAGCCTAACCAGTGCTGGTGTGCACCCAGGGAAGAGGGCAAAGTTTTCAAGTGGCGTGCAGATGGAAGCAGCCGACCAATGCGTGAGTTGAAATCTGCCATAATGATGATGTCCGTTTTAGGTGCCCTTAGGAGCAGATCATGAAGACTTTGATATAACTGGTTCTTGACTACATCCGAGCTGTCTAGGCAGAGATCATATAGCGGCTTATCGCCCGTATCTTGATTACTAGGCCATATGGCTCTGCTAGCGGCGCTCGACACATCGCTGAAACGTACATCGTTTGGTTTTTGAATACTCGCTGTGTGCGTAATTAGTGCTCACAAAAGGCTATGGTGAGGACTTGTGTCGATGGTGACGTGCAGTCGGATTTGGCGCTAAGTGGTGAAAGAGAAACGATATTCAACGGGAGGTAAAAATAAGTCGCTGTAGAACATCAACTCGTCCCGAAATCTACATGCCGTGTCGAAGCAAAGGATCAAGAGGAGTGCAAAAACAACCGTAAGCGAAATTCCCGCACGCTACACCGTAGAAGGCAAGGAGTGGGAGAAGGTTGCGCAAGTTGCCGCAGGAGTCAGCATCACTGACTCACAAATGCAACTAAAGAAACAGTGAAGCAGGGGGGAATCGCGAAGATGCCAATAGAAGTGCAGCTGTTGTGGCAACATCATCTTATACTTACACACATGTATATTTGTATAAACGCTGGTAGGATATTACACTCAGTCAGTCGACATTTCTATCAGCTGTACTGACCTGGGCGTTCAAAAGTACTTCCATCAAAACAATCTATATGCCAAGTTTGAGCTCTGTCCACAAAGGCCTAACATTACCAACGCAGTTTTCTTCTCTCCGTTTGATATTACTTTGTGGGAGCCTCAAAAAACATCAATGGAAATACAAGGCCACTTCGCGGCATCCAACGACTAAAAGGGGCACGGCTCACCGGATGATGAGAGCTGAGACCGACACACCTAGGTCATGTCAGCGTCAACAATTGGTCGGTGCTGGATTCAGAAATAGCGCTTCGTCGTTCTGTACCGCGAAGAACTGAAGGTCTGTTGATGTATTTTGAGGTTCCCACAAATTAATAACGAAAGAACCGAAGAAAACTGCAATGGAAGCTGCGTTGGTACAGGTAGGCCTTGGTGGATGGAGCTCAAACTTAGCATATCGATTGGCTTGAAAGTACTTTTGAACATTCAGTTCAATACAACTAATAGAAATGTCAGCTGACTATGCGTAGTGTTTTAGCAGTGCTTATGTAATAAATATTCGTGTGTGTAAGTATAAGATGATGTTACCACATCATAATGTGGCTCCAGTCCCAAAACGTACATAAAGGTCTGATAGAAAATGTGTCGCCCACTTTACCGCGTTTGAGTAGGCCCAGTACCATGAAACAACGTCTACAATGCGCCTGCGACATTCCTAAGGACCCCCTGCGAATGACAGGTAGTTCACTACCATAGGATAAACACTTCATGACTACAGTATGGAACAGCGCATATTCCACGGACCCAACAGATATAGTTGACCTAGACGTTCTGCGCGTGGTTTTTTTAAAGTACGTGAAAAGCAGTGGCTTTACTAGTAAGCCTGTTTCTTCCCGTCCAAAACACTTCATCAGTGCAGAAAATACTGCTCTCCATTGCAGCTGAATGCGAACTCGATGGTTTCGCTCGAGATGTTAGCGAAGAACTCGGCAAAATCCTTTAAAAGCAACGTCTCATACCAGGCGCTGTAAAAGCTGCATGCAGAAAATAATTGGTGGGATTATCAAAACGTTGAACCTGCCGTAGCGAGTTCAAGCCTTGGTGGATTGGAAGTGAAGTCATGAACGCCGAGATCGAAACTACAGTTAAACTAGCAACTAATATACTAATCCATGCAAATATCACTTGTTTAAAATTTTTCGTATCGATAATCTTCTGCCACAATATGTTTATCATTCTAGACCTGAAAAGTTAACATCATTCATTAAAGAGCGTGAAACAAATTCATCTTATGCGGAGCGTGCGGACGCCAGATGTTACTAACAGCAGGCACGTCTTTATGTGGCAAATCAAACTGTGAACCTGGACATTGGGTCTCTACGCAGTCTGGAACTTATGGATGCTCGCCGATGTGTTCCGCCTATAAGAGAAAACAATGAAACTCGCAATATCTCAGGGCTAGCCTGCAGATATCCCAAAACCTGATGATCTCATTGCGTTTCGGAGATGGAAACAGTCGCTGCTTGGTAACTAACGCGAGTCATTCCGTCCGATAAGAGAAACAGTTAGAGTAGCAAAGAAGAAAAAACATTGTTGTCCATTTTTGCCACAGTTTGGGTTTTTTATTGAGGGAGGGAAGGGGAATCATTGCAACAAGCAGAGATACACGCTTGCCACTGAGTTCGGTTTCGAGCCATGACTTCCAAGGTTCTCAACCAACCGCACTCAGCATCCTTGGGACCCCATCCAGAGAGTCGGGATGAAGCAACCGTGGCCATCTGATTTGTCAGCTTTTTCATCCTGCTTCT